AAGAGAAGAGAAGAGAAGAGAAGAGAAGAGAAGAGAAGAGAAGAGAAAAAGGAAAAAGTTACCCCTGGTTCAACCTGATGCCTGGGAGTCTTGCCTTTCCTTTCCTCATGTCTGAAGCCACCTCACCCTGGTTCCAGCCCTGCTGTGATCGATGCCCTCAGCCCTGGGGCATGAACATCTCTTCCCTAATGAAAGAGAAGGTGTGTACACAGCAGTGACTTCAACCTGAGGGAGGGAGCTCAGAATCACAGATAATTCTTTTTTACCTTTTTTTTTTTTTTCCAGAGACCTCCCAAGGCGTATCTGGTTTTGTTTGGTTTTAGTGTTTTGACATAGTCTCGCTATGAAACCCAGGTTGGTTGCAAACTCACTGTTCCCCCGCCTTAGCTTCCTGAGCACTGGGGTAACAGGCACACACCTCGAAGCCAGGCTACCTGGGTGTGTGTTCTCTTTAAGGAAGAGGGTTTGTGTTCTAGGAAGCAGTGGCTGTGCCAGCTCAGGATCCTGGCTGGTTTGTGTCTAGAGACCCAGGGGAGAGGGACAGCCAGCTCTGAGGAGAGCCACCTCCCTCCCGCAGGTTCTGCCCTGGCTGGTGTGCAGCACAGTGCCGGTAGCTTGCGTACTTCAGCCTAATGCTATGCGTGCAGTCGAGTGGCTGAGGTCTGTGCCAAGTCCTCACGGATCTGGGTTCAAAGCCCGTCTGGGGCTCTCTGTAGCTTTCTTCTCCATTTAACCAGCAAGCAGGAAGCGAGGCCAGGAGGGATGCAGGAAGGACAGACAAGATGTGGGCTTCTTGAAGATCACAGGCATGCGGGGAGGGACCGCAGAACCTCAGTTTCTGCTGCTGCCGTCCAGAGAATGAGAGCTTCCGGAAGGGAAACAAACACCTGGTAATGGGGCCAGGCTATGTGGGGTGAGCAGAACTGAGTGAACCACAGAGAGGCAATCCCTTCATCACTCATGCTGTGGCTGCCCAGGCTCCAAGAAGGATGTCTGCATGCATGGGCGTCCAGGGAAAACCGACGCTGGCCCGGCCCAGTGCACAGGACACCGCCAGTTCATGTCACTGTCCCTATCATTCAATCACAGGTGTGCGGTTCAGGACTCCAAACCGGGTTAGTCAAACCTGGGCCTGGTGGTGCAGACCTGTCCTCTCAGCTGAGGCAGGAGGATTGCAAGTACAAGGCCTTCTCTGGGCTACAGAACAAACTCAAGCCCCGTAACCTAGGCCACCTAGTGAGACTCTCTTTTCTAAAACCAAACTGGGGACTAACAGGATGTAGCTCAATGGTAGAGCGCTTGCCTAACATGCTTGAGGCCCTGGGTTCAATCCCCGGTACTGAAAAGAGAGAGAAAGAAACTAAAGCAAAAGTAAAAACTAGTAAACGGTCTGCCTTCCGGAGCCACTCACTCTATGTGCAAAAGCAATGGAGGGTTCCAGAAGCAGGACACCACGTCCCCAAACACTGCTGAACACCCAGCCGGAAGCCCTTCCCCCGGACTCCAGGCTGGGTTGAGGGGTTTAGGGAGAGTGCATTTCTGTCCTGAGCCCCCCGGTAAACAACCTGATGGTAGTCACAGAATCCCCGTTCCAGGCACCCAGGAAGGCGGATCTAGATGGCGGGGCTGAGCACAGTGGGTCTACTCTCGTGATTTCACCAGCAATACTCACCTCCCCTTGGGAGCTTGGAGAGAGGCTGGTGATGCCAGTGTGCCAGCGGCAGTGGCTTGTGGTTTGCCTGCATTCCACAGCATTGATCAAAGGTGTTTCTTGTTTGCCTGGTGACTAATTCTGTCACCATTCCTCCCCTGCAGGCCCCTCCCCCTTCCCTTGCACCTAACAGTCATTTAGCTGCCTGCTGGGAGGAAGTGCTTTTTGCTACTGCAGGCTTGAATCTCAGGAGCAGGATCGCTGCTAATCCACAGTTGAAATGAGGGGCAAAAGTATTGCCATGGGTGTCAATCAAGAGGTGTTGCTTAGCAACACTCAGACTGGCACATTCACGTCAGTCAGAACCCAGAGTGGCTGGCTGATCTCAAGGCATTATGATGAGAAATAGATATTATTCCTGGTAGCTAGCATGCATTAGTGATGTTAGTCATTGGTAATAAATGACATTTATTTATTTATCTGAGTCCTGTCAAGGCGTGCATGGAACTTGTGTGTGTGTGTGTGTGTGTGTGTGTGTGTGTGTGTGTGTGTGTGT